CTGCTGTTTCAGGAACAGCTGTGCACACTTAAACACTACACCAAACTGGCTCTCTTCGCAAAGTTAGTTGGAAAAGGGGGGACTGGCTCTCTTGGCAAAGTTAGTTGGAAAGGGGGGGGGGGAGCCGGGCTCAGCAGCCTGCTAGAGGTGATCTGGTGGCTTCTGGTGCTCTGCGAAGTGACTCTCTGTGCCCTTAAGCCTGTAAAGTTAGTTGGAAAAGGGGGGAAGCCGGGCTCAGCAGCGTGCTAGTGGCAATCTGGTGGCTTCTGGTGCTTTGCAAAGTGACTCTCTGTGCACTTAAGCCTGCAGAGTTAGTTGGAAAGGTGTGGGGGAGAGCCGGGCTCAGCAGCCTGCTAGAGGTGATCTGGTGCCTTCTGGTGCTTTGCAAAGTGACTCTCTGTGCCCTTAAGCCAGTAAAGTTAGTTGGAAAAGGTGTGTGTGTGTGTGGGGGGAGCCTGGCTCAGTGGTGTGCTAGAGACGAGCTGGTAGCTTCTGCTGCTTTCCAAAGTGACTCTCTGTGCCCTTAAGCCTGTAAAGTTAGTTGGAAAAGGGGGGGGGGAGCCGGGCTCAGCAGCGTGCTAGTGGCGATCTGGTGGCTTCTGGTGCTTTGCGAAGTGACTCTCTGAGCACTTAAGCCTGGGAGGTTAAGTAATACAAATATGTTTCATATAAATATAAATAAGTTTAATATAAATAAATGGCTTGTAATATAAATGATAATAGTTTATATGTTGTTTGTATGTTTGTATGCTTTAATAATTTTTTTTAATGTCGGCCCGCTCACAGTTTTAACGCTAGGACCACTTTTGGCTCACAGGGTAAAATTTCTGCTCACGAGACTGCACAGCTTAGAGGGAACATTGGTACAGACCGTATAAGTGGCTAGAAAATAAGTAATGTTATAGACTCACAATAATGTAAAAAACTTTACGGTAACCAGTACATCTGCCAAGAATGATGTAAAATAATATAAGTAAAAACTTGGGGGGGGGGGAAGGAAATTTGTCTATGTTAATGAAAAGAAGAGGAATTTATAGGCAGACTAGAGCCAACTCTCATCTATCTTTTACAACACTGCAGGCTCGTCATCTCTGCAGCAGGAAAATGTACTGCAGCCCCTGTAGATATTTCTGCAGCTGAAAGCCATCAGAAAGAAAGAACAGGAACACATCTCTCTCAAAGAACAATATTCAACCTGTTATTTCACAAACTTCAAAGGTTCTCAAGCCCCAACAAGAACATTACATCCTTAAGACTGTCAGAGACTCCTTGCATCAACTATTTTACTTTCCAACTTTACAGAAGTTTGGTTCCTAGACAATATACAGATATCACATCTTTAATTCCCAAGAGTACGGAGGATGATTTTGCCTTGACACTAACGTTTTGTGCATCCGGAACTAATTTAGATCGTAAACTCCTGAGTGGCAAACTGAAACAGTGGTTGCTTGGATACTGGTGTTATATATCGACTTGGCTGTGAATGTGCAGCAGGGTCCGTCCCCCCCTTTTATACAACATCATGGCTTTCCCTCACCTTTGCTGCACTCTTCCTAAGCCCGCTGTTTTGGGAAAGATCACAACAAAGTTGTGTGAACAGGAATATGTGGATATTTCCCAGCTCTGCTCATATCTGCTCCCACACACCTGCAATTCCTCCTGCACCACCGGAGGCCTTCCCCCTTAATCTAATTAACTAGTTTTACCTAAAAGAAGTCTTTCAACAAATGTGCTAGAGTGGATCTGAGTATGGAACAGTGAAAATTCAGGGATTTTGTTGTTGTGTGACAGAACTGTGAGTGATCTGACCACTATCAAATCAATGGCCCTCAATACTTTAAGTGGCTATATCCCTTTAGCTCTAGCACAAACTTGCACTTCATATTAATACTGAGAATTAAAAAGACTAACAGGCTGGAGATGGAGAATCTGGTTTCTCTTGTCTCATACAGGATGCTACTGATAATGTTTCATGAAAGGGGAAATTTCTGCTTAAGCAGCTACAGGAAGAATTAGATACAACACCTTGATTTTACTTAATCATGTTATATAAACAGATGCTCAAAGGCTGGATTATGAGTGCATTCTTGCAGTAGTAATTGTCAAGTAGTTGTCAAGGGACACAATCACTCCCACAAACACTCTTGTAGCAGTAAGGTTTGTTTAAGAGATGAAGAGGTTCCAAGCATAGACAGCTTCTATGTCAGAACTGGTTTCCAGATGCTAATTCCAACAATATACTGGAAGTAGGAAATCCCCCAAACGCCCATCAACCAATCAATGCTCCCATTCAGCCCGCCAAACATCTGCCCTGCCCATATGACTACCCCCAACACCTGCAAGCTAACAGTTACATTATCTAGAAGCTCCTCAGACTACAAGGTCAGACAGAACAATGAGATCACACACTTCCCAAGTTGTTCCCAGCACACTTGGGAGGCTCCTGCATGAGAACTGTTGCAAGCTAGCATTAACCAAGCAAAGCAGACAGCCATACAGATCCACTCCCCCCCCCAATTCACAGCAGAGATGATAAACAGCAAGACATAGAGCATGAAACATGTGAGCTATGAAAGAATGCATATGAATGTGAGAATATATGTGAAGCCGTGATACAACAAATGGAGCATAAGCAGGAGAAAACATTTGTCAAGTGAGGCCCAAGCTCAACAGTAGTATCCTATGTGTGCACTTCATCACCTCAGTTTCATATGGGGAGGCATTTAACTGAAATTGTTCTAAAGTGAAAACGGCACAATTATCTTCTTATGGGCACGGATCTCATAATGACCCTAATTCTGTGACAAATGTCACCTAGTTCGTGAACTGAAGATTGTGCAATCGCATCTGCAACAAAACTCCCATGACCCTCCATGTTGTTTTATGGAGGTTTGTGCAGTTTGTGTCAGGGTTCGTGCAGCAGACACGCTGGCACCGATCAATTAATCAGCAAAGCAACTGGGAGATGGACTTCTGGGTGAACTCGCCGCTTAGACTTAACTCGCGTTCCCTTTAATTGACTTTTGCAAGATCTCCCCCCCTTCCGTTCTGCTGGCCTTGGGGAGCCATCCCCAGCAGAAAGGAGGAAGGGAAGATCTTAGATCTCACACTCACATCATGAACCTCATGAAACAAACCAGTTTGGTAAACAGGGAGGTTCATGGTTTATATGACCACACAAACCGGGATGAACCTCCATTTTCTCTGTTCACGCCCACTCTAGAGACCAATTCACGTGTTATTAAATAGCGTGATTGTTACTTTCCTGTGGCTACACATCATGCATTTTGAAAAAGTGAAATAATGTGGGATGGTATATGATCATATACCAGCTCACAGAAACACTAAAATAGAAACTCAAATGCACTTTCTCCATGGTTTACTTTAGCACTGTGAGATACAGCTACAGGGGATCAGCAACCATAACATTTGAGTAATGTCTGTACAGAGATAAACAACCAAAGTTAAAGAGTTTGGGAACCTCATCAATTACTTCTCTGAATGGAAAAGAGCTCTTATCTTTGTGGGTATAGCTGACTTTGTGTATGACAATGCATATATCACAGTCATTCACTTAACACCAGAGATAACACGCCATTTCTCTGCCAAGCCGTTCTTAAAGGTAAACATTCTCAATTCAGGCCTTCTGATTCCTTGCACTCCAAACGAAATATCAACACACAGTTCTTGGTAATCAATATATTTGGCAGTCCAAAATACAGTAAAATCTGTCAAAGACATTCCGAATATACAGACTTTTCAAAAGTCCTTTATGAAGACTGGACGTATCATGAAGCCATGCCTACAGACTTAATTTCCAGTGCTGAAGCTCCTGATTTTGGCAAAGCGTCAATCTCTCTAATGAGGCATTTTGGCTTTCATTTTGGACTGCCAAATATATCGATTAGTAAGAACTGTGTGTTGATATTTCGTTTGGAGTGAAAGGAGTCAGATGGCCAAATTGAGAGTGTTTACTTTGGAAGAGAATGTTTACCTTGGTAGAGAAATGGTGTGTTATCTCTGGTGTTAAGTGAATGGCTGTTATTGTTTTTCACTGAAAGTCCTTGCATAGTTCCTTTAATGCATATATGGCGGCAGCTATGCAGCTGTGGGAAAAATAAAAAAAGAATCAAAATATTGGGCATATGCAGGCAGAATAACTGAAGATTTTAAACCTCCTTTTTTCATTTTCAATAATTGTTACATCTGAAACCGGTGTAGCCAAATAGGGATAATATTGTCAATGGACTATTCGTTCCCTAGATGTATTGTTTAATGGAGCAATGTATTACAATTAATTCTTAATTAAACAGACAATTCAAAAATTATTCATATAAAATAAGCAGTATTAGTACATTTTATTTTATTACAATGCAGCTTATTTAGTGAAATCTAATTCTTAATGAAATCATAAAAAGAGACAACTCTGGGACCCAAGTATATTCTATCATGCACGACATTCAAATCTTCAGAATTCGAACACTTAATTTGCCTGCTACTATTTGACTTGAGACCTGATCTTCAGGCTTCTTATGTCACTACCTGAGATGCTGTCAAGATAGGTCACAATTGCGGCAGACCAGCACATCACTACCTGGGATGTTGTATAAATATCATGCACTGAACTTGGAAGTCCTTTCAAGTAACCGTTTGACCAATGACACTATGCTGGTAAAAGCTGCTATTGCCATGAGCTACTGACCTATAAAGCGGTTTCAGAGTATGAAGGATGTAACTTGGCTTAGGGTGGCATGGTTAATTGCCTCATGACAATGAAATAATTGGATATTTCTATAAATATGTTAAGATAAACAACAGCAATTTCAACAGTTATTAAAACAGGACCATATATGTAAGTTCTGTGAGTGTAATGTTATGAAATACTATACGGTCTAAAATATGATGTTTAATTTTTGAACAGGAATAAACCAGTATTTTTAAAGATACAAGTCTTTGCAGCTAGTCACTGAATATGATATAAATATGCATTGTGTACTTACTGTGCCCCACCACAGAGCATCTGCATATGTAGAAAACTGATTATTTGCATCTTTTTCCACCAGATAGACTAGGAAAGATGAAAAAATGAGTACTAAAAATCCTATGTACCAGGCTGTGATTAATTCCTACAGGATAAAAATAAGAATTAAAAAGTCAGTATGGCAGCTTAGTTGGAGCTCAGTACATTTAGTGGAATATTTACACAGTATGCTGTACGAACATCTTATCAGTTAAAACACATAATATCTCCTTGAGTGCTCAAACTCTCATTAAACAGACTGTAAGACATCATGCTGCTTCAGGCCAATATTTTAAAGCCCTGATCTAAATTCAACTTCAGGTATGCCCTAGAGCTTGGAGGTATCCAGTGGAATGTATAACCTTTAAACCTGAACAGTAAACAAACCCCAATGCCATACCAGAAACCTCTTCTGAATTTTTTTTCGGCATCCAAAGAGGCTTGTCTTGCAGCATGGGTACTGTTATTAAAAAAATACAAGTCCAAACCCCCTGGGCAAGGGAAGACAGCATTGTATAACCCAATCTTGTCAGATATTGGAAGCTTAGCAGGATTAGTACTTGGATCAGAGACCACCAATGAAGGTTCTAAAGAGGAAGCAATGGCAAATCACCTCTGCTTAATCACCTGCTTTGAAAGCCCCTTGCTGAAGTCACCATAAGTCGGGTGCAATCTGATGGCACTTACATGCGCAAAGCTCCCTGGAGAATCCATAAGTAGTTGCACAGCTCTGTTACTACTGGTCTTATAATAGTTAGAATATGTATAACCAATTATGAAAAGTCTAAGTAATGTACTGTGCAATTTTTAGAAACGTAGGAGATTTCAACTTTTCATCGGAATCTTCTAGTTTCTGTCTTCGCATGAATCACAATAAAGGGCATTCAGACAAATTAACAACATGGGGATGAGTACTTACTTTGCTATGTGCATAAACTACTGAACCTAATAATTTCCAAGTTCCTCCTCTTCGGTCCATGCGCACCATACGAAGGATCTGTAGGAAACGAAGACTTCTCAGTGCTGATGTTGCAAAAATGTTACCCTGAGTTTTTGCAGAAACAACTGCTATTGAAGCGATGAGAACAATGATGTCTGAAAGAAATATATTACAAAGCATATTAATTTACTCAAATTGATCAGTAATATACTGGGTAAAGAAGGTGATTAGTGCCTTAAGATATATATATATATATATTTGGTAATCTTACACCAATTGTAGCTTGATTTGGCCTACAAGTCAGGACTAAAATTCTGAAAAGACACAAAGAAGAAGACGAAGACGAAGAAGAAGAAGAAGAAGAAGAAGAAGAAGAAGAAGAAGAAGAAGAAGAAGAAGAAGAAGAAGAAGAAGAAGAAGAAGAAGAAAAAGAAGAAGAAGAAGAAGAAGAGGAGATTGGATTTATACCCTGTCCTTCACTTGGAGTGTCAGAGCAGCTTACAAACTCCTTTCCCTTCCCCTCCCCACAACAGACACCCTGTGAGGTGGGTGGGGCTGAGAGAACTCTGACACAAACTGCTCTTTTTCAAGGACAGCTGTGCCAGAGCTTGTGACTGACCCAAGGTCACATCAGCAGGTACAAGTGGAGGAGTGGGGAATCAAACCCGGTTCTCCCAGATTAGAGTCCGCACACTTAACCACTACACCAAACTGGCAAATCATTGTTTATATGGAATATATGGCTAGCACTAAAGGAAGAATGCATGTCACTTTCTAAAAGGCTCTTGCAAGTTTTGTACCTAATCTGGGTAATTACCTGTAATACTGGGTTAATATTTATAGCAAGGTGCTTAAAACATGTTTTTAAAAGATTTTTTTAAAAAAACAAAGAACTTGAGGAAGCAATAATACCATGATGAGTGAAGCATTAAAATATCCTGTATGGATAGAACTTTGAAGAGTAATGGAGAAATTTAAGAATCTGAAAATCAAAGCAAATGGAATTAATACTATTCCTACACATTAGAAAGTAAATAAAATATCAATTAACCAACACTAAACTCTGTCAAAACAAATGCCCTTTCACCAAATATTATAGTAATCTGCAAGCAAAAAGACCTTTACCAAGTAATGTTTCGGGCACTTTACACCCATTTCAAGACCTGTGCAATGGGGCACTCTTTATATATGCCAGCTTCTTGAGACCAAACTGGATACAACTGTTTAAACTCAAAACGATGAGCAATCTAGGCGTCTGTCAAATATATTCATAGAGTTTTGGGGAAATTAAGTGCAGAGTGTTGGTGTTGTTTTTTTTTAAAAAAAGACTTACAATATACAAATGGGGACTCACAAGAAAGTTGTGGGAGCAGCCATCTCCCCACCTTTGCTTCCTCCCACCCATCTACCCCTTCTCTCTCTCACTTTCTATCTCCCATTCCATCATTATTTCTCTGTTTCTTCCTCCCCAATACACCTCCTGTCACTCTTCCTCACTCTGCCCACAATGCTTGTTAATCTTTCTCTTGTTCTCTCTCCCAACAACTGCTGTTATTGATTCTCTCTTTTAGTTCTCTTTCTCCCTCCCTAGTTCCTACTGTCACATTCTTTCACACACACACTATTTCTCCATGTTCCTCCCATCATTCTTTCATTCTCTCTCCCCCCAAAGTCAGTGCAGCACTTGGCTGCCTCTCCTCCTTGCCTCATTGACATAGAGCTTGGCTGTCTCTCCCCCAACTAGTTGCCATGGTGCGTCACAGGTAGAGCAAGCTGATCTGGGGGCAATTCCCATGGCAAGGCCAGCTTCTCTTCTGGAAGCAGTTTCTTCTTCCTGTTATGCCCCTGACAGCTCTCCAGTTTACAATGCCATTGCTGCTGCATTATCTGCACTTGTGGTCTTGGGTTTTTTTTGGGGGGGGTGTTAAGTATTTAACAGGGGGGATTTAACCCCCCGATTCTTTTAAATTTCAGATTTGTCTGCAAACCTGGGGGGAATTCCCCAGTTTTGCAGAAATATATGTTTTCTTTCTTTGTGGCCCCAACCTGCAGATTTAGGTATCCACAGATGAGGCCACACTTTTGCTATTAGAATATATGACGTGGTATGCAGTACAAGAAATGGCTATTTCAAATTTAAATTATAAGACTCCAAAGGGTAGCTAATTAAATTGGGTAGACTTATGGATGCACATTTGCTTGCCTTGCAGGACTTTAAATTGCATATTATCCATAGCAAATTATATTCACCTCCTTTGGTATCTTTTTTACAAAAACCAACTTGTAGCAATAATAAGTGAATATGGGATCAATATGAATCAAGATGTCATTACATATGTAAGAATTCAAATAGCACTTTGTGTATTAAGCTTTGCACTGTCACTGACATGATTCCTTTTCAGGTTCAAAGAAGTGTTCGAAGTGTTTTCCCTTAAACCCTTTTATGGGAGGAATTAGTTGCATTAATTTCAGTGGATCAGTAAAATCATATATTCATTGGGACCAACCATGGCTATAAGGTAGCATGCAAATATTCAAGTTAACAGCATTTTCTTCATGATGGATACTGTTGTATCCGCTGACCGCCACCGGGGCCAGCGAATATCCCAGAGCTTGACTCTGGGAGAACAATAGGAACTAGGCTCCTAGTCCCTCCACTGGGGAACCAATGAGCACCGTGGCGGGAGATTCAAACCCACCAACGGGGCTCAGTGGTGTGTCCCCAAGAGTGTATATAGTTGCCTGCCGGCCGTTAGCGGCATCTCTTGTTGTGTACCAATAAAGCGTGCTATGCACTATGCCAGTCTTTGTCCGTCATCCATACGGCAAACCCACTACACAATAGATACACTCCATAATGAATAGTTGATGGTTATTTTTGTTTTATGACCTTCTCCAAGGTACCCTTTTAAAAAATGCCTGCCAAAAACATTTCATGGAGAACAGGTCCTTTTTCCATAAAAAACCATTTTATTCAGTCTCTGTTTTGACCAATGGAAGAATAACAAAAAGCAATTATAATAACAGAAAGTGTCAGTTAATGATTCAAACCTTGTTATCAGCAGACAAAAATACCCACTGATTAAAAGAAGGAACAAATAAAAAATAGCAAATTATAATTTAACATCACAGCTGCAATACACAAGAGAGAATCTAATTTAGACACAATCATGTACATCATAAAAATTGATAGCCTGATAGAAATGTTTTTAACTGGTGCCTGAAATAAAATAGTGAAAACACCAAACGAATGGCAATGAACAGTTTCACAGACAGCACACTACCACAGAAAAGGACCTGTCCTTGATGATTGATTACCCACCTCACCTCCACAAAGATGTTACACTCAACAAGGCCACTGATTTAACCAGCATAATTGCATATATTTGATGATAGGATTGAGTTAATTTAGTTCTTGAGATGTTCCAGATTTTATTTGCCACTGGTGCAGATGACAAAGAGGTCATTAATGTATCATTAACCGGTGATAAATTCATGTGGGTAGCCATGCCAGTCTGAAGCAGCAGTCAAGTAGCACCTTTAAGCCCAACAAGGTTTTATTCCTGGTATAAGCTTTTGTGTGCACACACACTTCTCCAAACTTTGTTTGAGCAGATATTAAGTTTGTTAGGCCAATTTATGGGCTAACTTGAACAACATTGAACATTCGAATGTCTGTTTCCCAGGGCTCTTTTTGGGCAGGAACACACAGGAACGGAGTTCCGTCTGGCTCCCGAGTTGGCCACGCCCAGCAGGAACTCATTAGCATAATAGGCCACACCCAACAGCAGAAACTCATTAGGACTGGCTACATTAGGGGTGTGTGGCCTAACATGCAAAGGGTTCCTGCTACATTACTTCTGGTAATGTGGGGTGTGACGTAATATGCTAATGAGCTGCTCTGTCAGGGGTGTGGCCTAATATGCTAATGTGTTTCCGCTGTTGGGTGTGGCCTGTTATGCTAATGAGTTGCTGCTGTGCTTTTTCTACAAAAAAAGCCCTGCTATTTCCTGTATGTTCTTCTCACCATAGAGCAAAACAAAACAGTCACCAACCATTAAAATATCGATGCAAACTGCTATTTCATTTTATACTAACTGAAAATGTCAATACAACGTTCAAATTCTTATATCCTGAACAACACTTTAATTTATTTCTTTGGCATTTTTATCTGTTAAAGAAACTGGATCTTTCCTGACTTAATCATCACCTTCTAGTAAAAAAAAAAATTGGCAGGATTTCTTTTGTAGAATTTATTGGTCTCTCCATCCTCAATTTTGTTTCAAGGTGCAAGACAGCTTTGTGGTTTTTAGATATAAGAAACCAAAATGGGTTAGATGTTAAAATAATCCTGAGTAGTAAGTAAATGGGGTATGAAAATTGATTTGTAAAACTGTTATGAAGTAGGATAATAGCAGATAGCAAGTATTCAGAAAAATTGGTGTTATATCTGAATTACCTGCTCAGTGGGAATTTGTGGAATGCATCCCTTATCACTTAAGAACATAAGCCAGTGTTGGATCAGGCCAATGGCCATCTAGTCCAACACACTGTCACAAAGTGGCCAAAAATACCTGGTGCCATCAGGAGGTCCACCAGTGGGGCCAGGACTCTAGAAGCCCTCTCCCCCAAGCACCAAGAATACAGTGTATCACTTGCCCCAGCCTGAGAGTTCCTATCTATATCTTGTGGCTAATAGCCACTGATGGACTTCTGCTCCATATGCTTATCTAATTCCCTCTTGAAGCTGTCCATGCTTGTAGCTGCCACCACCTCCTGTGGCAGTGAATTCCATGTGTTAATCACACTTAATGCATCAATCTCCTCTAAATATGTCGAAGGGAACAATTTGGTTATGCTAGTTTCCCCATAGACTATAACTTCCTAGGCCAAAGAAAAAGGACATTTATAGTAATTTTAGGTTGTATAGAATTTGATTTAAACTGAGACCTGAGATAATATGCAAATACGTCCTTGAACTGCATAATTCTTATTTAGCAGTTTATATAGATGTTATTGTTATATTGTTCTCTCATTGTTTACACCGTGCAGTGACAGCGTGTGCAATTAAATGAATATATGTTGTCTTCCCTATCCCCTATGAACACTGTTAGTCCCCTGTCTAAAATGTGTAACTGTACATCACTTTGAGCCC